CATTCCCGCGCGATATGCCCCGTCTGCTCGCAATTCCAACACTTGGGGCCCTGACGCGCAGGGGCGGACGTCGACGGGGTCGCTAACTCGATAGCGGGCTTAACCTTTGGTTTAGATGCGGGGTTCGCGGTGGGCGCGTTCTTGGGGGCCCTGCGCGGACGCCCGCCGATCTCAGTTTTACTCTTCGCCACCCCAGGTATCAAACCTACGGCGGCGACGGCTCTCGCGCCTTTCTTCGGCGACCGATACGCTAACTCCGGAAAAATGGATTGTTCCGGTGGCGGGGGAGCGCGATAGCGCAGCACCGCTGCGTAACTATTCTCGATGCGCGTCGCTAAATTCTCTAAGGACGTAAAGTCGTACACGTCTCGACGATGGACCGCAACCTGTAAACGCGGCAACATGTTACGATGCGCGTGATTCAATTGCTCCTCTAAGTGCCACGGCGGACTTAACCTTTCGAAAAGCGCGCGCAAACACGTCAAGTAATCGGCGACCGTCTCTCCCTCGCCCTGCGTACGTCGCATGATTTCGTCTCGCAACGCGAATTGGAAATCGGGGTTCCCGAATCGAGCACGCCACGCGGTCTCGAATTCTCGCCAAGTTCTCCAACGGTTTCGTTCGTTACGATACCAATAAAGCGCGATACCGGACAGGAAAAACGGAATGCACTTGAAAAGTTCTTCGTCCTCAACCGGAACTAAGGCACGACCCTCCTCTATACGGGCTAAGAACGCCTCCGCGTCGCTGCCACGGGCGCCCGAGAATTTTAAGTTCCAGCGGCGCATCATTTGATATGCGTCGCCGGCGGACGAAGTACAGCGTGCTACGGGGCGTGAACCTCGGGGTACGGAGGGTAATTCGAGAACCGGCGGTCGTAAATAAATCGGCGCACGCGTTTGATTCCCGAAAACCGCATCCCCGAGTCCCGACTCGTGGTGGCTATCGGGGCGCATAGGCGAGGGAACCGAGGGGCCGGCGGCCGCGTCAGGGTCTCCCTGGGTCGGCGTCTTAGGCGGATCCCATCCTAACTGGGTGCAGACCTCGTATCTGTTCAGCCGGGCCCTCAAAGTCGCAAGGTTGCCCTCACTATTCTGTCCGCGCTTCTCTAATTCGTCGCGTAATTGCTCGACGGTGAGGTTAAAAATCCACCCGCCTCCGCAGTCTTCTTCCGAACTCATGATCGCAAAAAAAAAATTTTAAACGCGGGTACGAAGGGTCTACAGGCACGTTCCCCTTGACGAGCTCCCCTCAAGAGAGATCCTACCCCGCAGGTCGTGTACTCCCGTAACCGATACTTAAGTAAAACTTCGCTAAAGAGTCCCGGTATTTAGCAAAACTCAGAAAAACAAAAAAAGAACGGTATGATGATCGGAGTGTAAACCGAAAGTAGCCCTGAACAAAGTCAACGCGAGAGAAAAGAAAAAATATTTTCAATGTTCGTGCGGTAGAATATTTATCCTTAACTCGCGACGTTCGCTCACAACACACGCGAAATTCCACGGTACGTTTCCTCAAAGCACATCATACAAGGGAAAGCAAATATAATACAAACATATAAATCAAAATACCTGAAAGAAATGGATTAGCAACACACAAAATCAAAACAAGCAATATCAATAGTCAGCGAAATATATGCTACAGTTAATCCTTGTTCCTTTGTTAATTCGAACAGTCTGAAGGATTTCGTGCCCACAGAAATATACAAAAGAAAACAAACATTTAAGTCACGCTCCAAAAAAAAGAATTTTCAATAATAGCGTATTAATCGCATAGGATATATTAGCGGCACGTCGCTTAAGGCTTCTCAGGCAAGCGCAAGATCGCAGATTTTTATACCAACAAAATGCTAGAAATCATATACGCAATAAATGGTCATTGCAGTTTAAGCGCAAGCAAAGCAGTAGCATATAATTCGCACGCAATTTCAATAATTATTTTACGCCCGATATAAGCGTCTCACAGTACTCAACGCAGAAGTACTAGAGGTCTCGCAAGGGAAATCTCCAGAAAAATGCTGGGATTTCCGACAAATGTTTCAATTCGTCAAATGTAAATTTTGGCGAATAATAATTTCGCCTAACGGAGGTTCGAAATAAAGACAAAGTTTATTCATAGAAATTTAAAAAAAAATACGCAAAAAGAATTAATAATAATGATAAACAAAAATTTTATAGACTTCTCAAAATATAAATTAATATTTTTAAATATACATGTTTCCGAGCTTAAAATTCAAGCGACAGAAAAAAAAATGACTGACACTGAAAAATCTATGTCCCCAAAAAAAAAGAAATACAAAAAAAAATTATTCTTCAAATATAATTTCTCTCAAAAGCGTTAACTGTAAAGAAAGGAAAGTTCAAACAGATATAACTCGGAAAACATAAATATTCGCGAACATAATTTTTAACAAAAATATAAAAGTCCAAAAAAAAATAATTATCCAAAATAATTATCACAAAATAATTATCACACAAAAAAAATATCTTGTTATATAAATCGCAAGGAAAAATTTTGCTTCCTTCTAGAAATCCATATATAATATACACTTCCAAAAATATATAGAGTTCATATATCAAAATCGCATAATATTAATGTCACATAAAAGCAAAAAAAATTTTCATCTCAAATATATATCGAAAAATAGCCAATCTCGAAACCGAACGTCCCGTAATAATAAAATTGTTATTTCGTGGGCCCCACGTTGGGCGCCAATTTGTAACCGTTAAATTTTTATTGTCCGTCGGATCGAAAAGGATCCGGGAAATAGGGCCGATGTAAGTGGCCGACGGCACACCTTCGGCGCGGAAAGCGGGAAATTCGCGTAAACACAAAAATATGTTTGTTTGGGCGCCAGGCGCGGATCCGCGCCACTCTGAAATTTTTCAACTCGACAAATGACTTTTATAATTAGTAGATCATCCCGAAAATTTCCGCGACGGCGACAATCGACTCGCTCAGGTCGTCAGGGGGTAGAGGGGGGAGTTCGGACGGGAGAGAGAACGGAATTCGAGAGAGGCTATTTGAAATCGCTCAAATATAACCAACATTAAATATATTTAGACAATGATGAACAAAGATAGACAAAAAAATAATAGTAGAAACTTGAGTACGATGATAGGTTCCGAAAGAAACTTACGATTCGTTCGATATATTACGGAGAGATCTCCGCTTGAATAACGCCGCAATACAGATAAACGAGGCCGAAATTTTATTCGAAAAATACAATACGGCGCATGCACGGCCGAGACGCGGCGCGTTGTTATTGTTCCGCGCCTTTGAGACGACCCGACGCGGTGATATCGGACGACACGCGGGACCCGGAAATACATTCGCACGCCTACGTGTCGAATAATTATTAACGCACGAGACTTATAAGGTCCGTGCGGCGTAATTAATTCCGATGGTTTTAGGCAATACAAAATTTCCGTAAACTCGAGTAGGTCCCGCGCGACTTCTTGAGATCGTTCACGCCGGTCGTCCCTCGCAATATTTCACAAATAATCCGAAGACGGCACGGATAAGGATATGCGCGAGAGAGAATACGCTATTTCGGATGCGTGACTCTAAATAGTTTTCTATTCTCCGATCTAGAAACTCTACCAGACGAGAACGATACAGTAATTACAAGACGATACGTTAATTTCTACATTAGCGTGACAAAATTCGCGGCGACTGTCGGCGTATCCGCGGGAGAGAGAGCCTCTCTTAATATACGCGCGGGAGAGAGCACGCGGTCGGCCGGGCGCCGGGATAAATTCTACGCGGAACGAAACTCTAAATTAAACTCTCAAAATCACGAAATTACCGGTGACTCTAATAACCGGCCGCGGCCGTGACACGCTTCTCTCCCGAATACGGTACTCACAAAAAGAAAGAAGTTAGCGGCTTTACAATATGAGATAGGGCCGTTCGTCTCACCGGTATCGCCGGGTCCTCGGTGCTTCGGCATCCGCGCAGGAACCTCTCCTCTCTCGCACGTCTCGCCGAACAGTGACGAGCAAGAGGCCTGCCGGGATCACGCCGATACTAAATTTGGCATTTTCCACCCGTGGCGCTCCTTATCCTGGCAGGGCCGCCGGGTACCCGCGGGGCCCTGCGAATTTTCTTGATGTAAATTTTCCCTCGCCGTTCCTCTATGTTTCCGCTTTGGGTTCCGGTATTCCTCTTTATGGGCCGTCGGGAAGACTCCTACGAGGGCACCTCTTTGCGATTCCTCCCAAAAATCCGCCAGATCGATTGTTTGATCGATGGTGGGATTTCGGTGTATCCGGATCTGCGGGGCTCGAGGCAGGATGTCTCCCGCGCCTTTCGTTCCCGGGGCTCTCTCGCCTCTCGCGAGAGAGTGGCCATCCCCGTCTCGGGCCGGAATCTCTGCGGAAGAAGGAACATTTTACGGCGGTACCCAGGTTCTTAACGGGATGGGCAAGCCAGAATTTTGGTGCGAAAATAATATTTACCGGGCGTGATCCGGACTTGGTGGCTCCTGCTCGGTCCTCAATCGTCCTCTTCGTCCTCTCCGTCCTCTCACTCTTTCTCTCTATTGGTTTCCTCGGTTGAGACACGTACCCTATGCAAAATTGCTCGCCGAAAACGCCAAAAATCGCTCAAACAAAAATCATACAAAAAGTAATTCGCGAAACGGATGCGCGAAGCGCATCCTCCGACGCGGTAGAAAACGCAAAATGATTGTTCGGGTGCTCTCTCTCTCAAAGATTGGCGAGAGAGCAAAGGTTCCCGAATTTCCCGCCTTCCCGGCCGGGCCTTCGGCCCTTGTGACGGACAGTACAAAATGTCACGTCACAATATATATATATATATACCCACACAGCACATGATATCATTCGAATATTCTGTACACATACTGTTAATCTACGCAATATACATAAGATACTGAGAATATCTTTATAATATCTCTTGCAATATATATTTTTCGTATATTCTTAGAATATACATTTTAATATTTCTCACAGTATATTCCCACACAGCATAATGTCAGAAAGATCTCTTTAAGATATCTTTTTAAAGGTAACTTTTTGAGGAATGAAAAAAGATATCTATTAGATAAATATATTAAGATGTCCATATCAAGAGATCTAAAAGATATCTTGTTTGAGAAGTGTCTTACATAAGATATCTAAAAGACATCTTTTGTAGGAAGTCTATTAAAATCTCTTCATATTGACATCATAATGTCATCTTGAAAGTGATAAATTTGTAATATAAATGCGCATGCGCACTGTAGTAGTGTAGATAACCTTAAAAAATAATACAACAACGCGGTGTGTGTACGTGCATGAAATAATTTGTTGGACTTATTAATCAAGTTTAAAGAAAAATTTACAAGTACAATTAAGTATCATTTTTCATTGGGTCACTAATTATCTATTATATTTCGAAAAATCATAATAAGTATATTAATATTACTGCAATTAATATATTCAGGGTGTCCCATTTTAACTCACGGATGAAATAATATTGTATGGCTTATTCAAAGGGGACATAAGATTATAGTGGCATTTATTTGACCTTGGATAATTGTTTGAAGGTCACGTGAAGGTCACCTTCAATTTTTAAAATGTTAAAACAAAAATTATTTAAACATTTATCTAAAAGCCAAAAAAATAGACGCCTAAAAAAAATGTGTAATTCTTTGGACAATAATGAAAATAATTCAGTATTAATAACATGCAAAAATATAAAATGTGGCAAAACAATAGAGAGAAACAATAAATAATTTCGAATTTCAAGATGATAAATCTTCTACTTCTTCTTCTTCTCTTTATGACTGGTTGGAAGATGATAAAAAATCTATCAATCATGTCTTAGAAGAATCAATAAATTGCATAGATATTAAAAATAATTACAATGATTTTCTAAGTGACTCATCAATAGATGAAATTCAGATTAATACAGATAATTTTTTTGAAAATAAAAAATCTAAAAATTTTAATAAAGTAATGGCACGTTGGGTATGTAGTTATGGTATAACCCATGAAGCAACCGGCGCTCTTCTAAAAATATTAAAAAATGTAGAATTAGATGAATTACGCAATTTGCCTTTAGATCCACGAACTTTACTTGGAACCCCAAAATCAACAATAATTCGTAGTGTACCACCAGGTGAATATTTTCACTATGGTTTAAAAAATGCCTTGCTTGATCAATTGAAAATTATTGATATCGACAGAATATCTACTAATATTCAGATAAATATAAATATTGATGGGTTGCCAATAGCCAAAAGTTCAAAAAGTCAACTTTATCCCATTCTGGGAGAAATGTATCCAAAAATTGCTGAGCCATTTGTAATTGGAGCTTATCATGGAAATGAGAAACCTAATTCCTGTAATACATTTCTGAGAGAATTTATTGATGAATATAACGTTTTACATCAGAGTGGATTTTATTATTGCAACCAAAAATTCACAATTACAATTAGAGCTGTAATTTGTGACAGTCCAGCACGGTCTTTTGTTACATGCACAAAAAGTCACAATGGTTACTTTGGATGTGGAAAATGTAGAGAAGAGGGAAATTATAATAATCATCGTATGTTATTTTTGAATTCAAATGCGGCTTTAAGAATAGATGAAAACTTTATCCAACGTATTGATGAAGAGCATCATTTTGGAACATCACCGTTTGAAAAAACAGGTTAGGGATGGTTTCGCAATTCCCACTTGATTACATGCATCTGATTTGCCTCGGAGTTGTAAAAAAAATCTTACAAACTTTTACACATGGCTCTCATAAACAAAAGTTTTCTGCTAAAATGATCAAAGAAATATCTGCAAATTTAAAAACAATAGCCAAATGGATTCCATCTGAATTTGCAAGAAAAACTCGTGAATTAGAAAATTTGGATCGATGGAAAGCGACTGAATTAAGATTATTTTTATTGTATGTAGGTCCAGTTGCTCTACAAAATTATTTACCAAAGAAATATTTGATCCATTTTATTTCATTACATTGTGCAATCAGGATTCTTTGTCACGAAACAGATTGCAAAAGAAATAATAATATATGCGAAAGATTTATTGAATTATTTTGTGGAAAAATGTATTGAATTGTTTGGTACTAATTTTTTGATATATAATACCCACAATTTAATTCATTTAGCCGATGATGTTTTAAAATTTGGTCATCTCGATTCATTCAGTGCTTTTTCATTTGAGAGTTATTTATATAATATTAAAAAAAACTTAAAAAAGCAGAAAAACCTTTACAACAGCTACACAATCGAATTGTAGAACATGTTGCATGTAATTTAAAAAAAAAGATTATTTTTTTCGAGAAACCTAAAGTGATGTGTAAAAATAATAAAAAATCCGAGGAACTTGGTATTGCTTCATATAATACTATACATTACAATAAATTTACACTATCAACAATAAATAAAATAAAGCGGATCAGTTTTGTTATTTGCAAGATGACACTATTGTACGCGTTAAAAATATTTGTTTAAATAATGACAATCCTATTTTAATTGGAGAATCATTGATAAATCCTATAGGATTTCCAAATTATCCTATTGATTCTAAGGAGTTTGATATTGTAATCGGGAATCAATGGTCTCATTCAACAAATTTTGATGCAAATAATGTTACCAGAAAAGCTGTATGTATCCCATATAAGAAATCATATTGTTTCTTGCCTTTGCTACATTCATATAATTAAAACGATTATTTTATTTCCAATTCATAATATAGAAAATAATATAATTAATAATTTAAAGCTATTATACTTTTACTGATTTTATTTGTCATATATATCGATATAAACTTTATTTATAAACATACTTTATATTTTAACAACTAATCAAAAAGATTATTTTCTTATTAATCATATTCCATTTCATGCGTGTAAAAAAATTACTCAAACATATAAAAGTACTTCTAATTTATATTATGTTTATATTATATAATTCGTCTTTGTAAAATAAAAATTGATTTTAAAATGATAACAAAGCTATTACATGTAATTTATATAAATATAAAAAGTAATATTAAAAATTATATTTAGAGAAATGATAACATTATCATAAATATATTTATATAAGTATTTAACTATTTATGTGTGTATCGATCGCTGAAGGTTTCAAACTGTGTTTCATATATATATGTATATATATAATATATATATATATATATATATATATTAGTGATTAAATATATTAGTGATTAAATAATATCGTGAAGATCTGCGCATAATTGCGGTTTAGACGGAGTGTATACGGAGTATACCATCAAACATATAATCGCTATCAAAATTGGAAAGAGAGCCGGATTTTTTATAATTTTTTATGTATGTGCTTCTACGAGCTGTAACGAGTTGCAACATAATTTTTCCTCAAATCGGTATTAAACGTTAAGTGTGTAATATAGGTAAGTTTAATAGACTTTTATTTGAGATTATACTTAACACATAAAAAGTTTTTTTCTCAAAATCATATTATTGTAATTTATTCAGATATGTTTTCTTCCAAAAATTAAGTGCTATATATATACTTTCTAAAATCATTCAATATATATTTCAATTATAATTATATAATTTCAATTTATTAAATATTTTATTTATAAGTAAAAAATTCTAACTATATCTTCAACACTGCTTGATTAATATTTATAGAAATTATTTTTATTTAATATGATTAAATTATTATTTACAACAGTTAACATGATGATAAAAAATTATATATACATATATTGCGATATTATTAATAAATTTACTTTAGAATAAATCAAGATTATTTTTTTCAAAGTGAAACATTTTTAATTTCAGAAATGTATTTTGTTGTATTTTGGATAGAATGGAGTGCTACGATACCAAGTTGTTGGTTATTTATGGAATCCAAAACTTTCAAATGGCCACCCAAACCTAAAAATCCGACTCATTTATGCATTAAAGCAATATTACCAAAAGAAGATTGGGATACGATTCATTATACTAGATTTATAGGACCATTTGGTAAGTTTAATGTTAATTTAATATCAATTATTTATATTCAAATATTTTATTGTATTCTTTATATTATTTTGAAGCTACATATAATGAAGCCAGAGATATTGAAATCCAAGCTGTTGATATTTCGACTAATGATGAAGATGCATTGCAAGCACTTGCAACAGTTAAAGTAACTAACAATAATAAGCCACTTTCTGTAAAACGTGCGATCAATAAACCGCGCCGTCTTTATTCTTCTGACGAAGAAAATCAGAAATCATGTAAGCATTTAAATTCATTTTAAATTTATAAATTAATAAAAATTGTATTTTTTAATATTTTTCTCTTCTAAATATTTACATTTAATTAATACTATTTTATAATATTTTTTATAGATGTTAAAAATGAAAAACTTCTAAAATCTATAAAAAGTAATAGTTTTCCTCATCAAGACGAAGATGAAGATAAAGAATCTGATGAAGATTCAGAAAAAGGTCTAAACTCTCATATAGTAAATCATTAAAAATATTCACTAACTAATTATACTTTAATAATAATAATATTTAGAATATTAATCGGTTCTCGAAATCAAATATATAATATATATATATATATATATATATATATATTATATATTTAATATAATAATGTTTGTTATTTAATATATTCACATATTTTCTTATAGATGTTCAAAAGAATTTTCAAAAACCTCCAATCCAATATATTCCAAAAAATAAGAAAAAGGAAATCATAAGCGAAGTTGCAGCAGGTGCGATGATAAAATTTTGAAGTCCCTGTTTATAATAGAGAAAATATTAGGAATATTAAATATTAAAAATAGGAATTATTTTAAATAATAAAATTTTTAAAATAATAGACTGATATACAAATATAAATTCGGGTATAAAGGGCTCCTATACTTTTATTAAGAATTCTTTACCCGAATTTGTATTTGTATTTGTTTCTCGTGGTAAAACCTTGTATAGAAGGTTCGCACGCCAAGGCGGTAATTTTTAGGTCGGGCGGATTAATTTTCATTGTCACTCGCGGTTCGTTTAATATACTTTTATTCAAATCACAAATTATAATAAGAGTGTTGAGAAACGAGGCGGACGATATTTCAACAAAAAGGTGTATCGATCCTATCTCGTCTCGTGGCGGACGCTCAATAATGATCCGAGACACGTAGCCAAGGCGCGAAGCGAGAATTTTGGGGATTTGCGCAGGCGATTCGCGTCGAGCAAAGGAAAAGACAGGCGAGTTAACACGTGGATCACATGTGTTTTTGAGGTGTTGTCCCGCGTTTGGCGCGAATAATTACTGGATGTCCGAACGATAATATAAACGGAGAATTGAACGACCTATACTTTAGGATTAGGCTTATTCCTGAACATACCGCCCGCCTCGAATGTAGGCATTCGAAAAAGTACAAATGGTTTAACAATAATAAAAGACATAATGGAATAAACGCTGTACAAAGAATATCAGTATCTCGTAGATACTTCAATAACAAAGAAGGGGTGTTAGCGCATATTAAGACGAGATTCCGCCCGCCATAAACGAATCTTTTACTTCTTCGGTATTAATCGCCAACAGGCAAGAAGCATAGTTTCACGATCGGTCGTTTATATTCAGAACGGGAGGTTTTGACCGTGACAACGCGCGTCAGGCCATCTTCTCCTGGATGACAGGCGACAATTTGTCCAAGGTCCCAATGCTGGGCGGAGCCAAGAGATTACGCACTAGGACTATTTGGCCAACTTGGCAAGTCGCTGGATAACGCGCCATTTTTGGGCGTTGTTGAAGAGAATGCAAGTAATCGCTTGACCAGGACCGCCAAAACTCTT